GATTCTATTTCGTCTGCCTGCCAGGACATCCACTGCTGGACTTACAGAATCTGGCTGCTTGCCTGCTCACTGCCTACTGCTACACTCCCCTCATGCTTTACCAGACTGCCCAGACTCTTCCTGTTGGTGACTACAGGAACCTTCTTAGCTTTCCTGTCCTGCCCTAATTAGTTTCTTAAGTTTATCGGTACCAGGCTCCTTGATCTGGCTCTGCTTGCCAATGACAAGCACCTGTTGAGATATTATCTCCCAGTTTACCACTCGTCTTTTATTTCTTTGGGCCAACGTTTTGGTAATTCTTGTTTATTCTTTCTTTTCCTTTGTTTCCTGTATGTAATCCGTGGGGAAGAACTGTTTGTTCCTTTTAAATATCTCTTGGATTCATTCCTTTCTTTTCATTTCCTCTGGGACCACTCCAGTTCCAATCCTCACAACTATCTGGCAGGACTTTATCTAGTTTAAATTAGAGTTCAGCAGTAGTGCCTCAAAGGATTAGACAGAAGCCAAGTGGACATGAGCCGGTCTCTACTCTCGCACTAACTTCAAATAAGTCAGTTAGATTTGTATCTGTTGTATATATTGGGGTTCTGTGAAGAGTTTTATTTAGGGGAAAAAACCCCCTGTACTAAAGGAAAAATAAGTTTGAATATCAGCAAAGTTTTTCTGCATAACACTGTCAAACCAGCTCCTTAAAACACTTCTTGTTTTATAACTTCCCTGCTAAAGATCTTTATCAGTTACTACCACTGTGTCTGACATTCAAAACTGTTTACATACTGGGAACATTCTATGAGGATAATCATGTTTCCTACAATTATTCAACATCCGTGTTCTTACCATTCTAGTCAAGCTTCACTGGCCCCTCAACATTATTGGTCAGTATTGTTTCCAGGCCATTCCGTATCTTTTTCTTATTTCCTTTCTTTGCTTGGCCTATTCAAGTCTGATTTCTGTTTCATAGCTCAGCAGTTCAAGTCTAATCTCCTCCTTGAAAACTTCATCTATTCTAGGCCCAAAGGATCTCATTCCTTCACCATTTTATACTGAATTTAGTGTCGGTATATACAAGTTAGGCAGCTAATTTTCTCATACTGTTTTCACACGTTGGTTTTCTCAAGTAGATTTTAGGCCTATTGATGGCAGGGATTTAATTAATATATTTTCTAGTTTGTTCCATTACAAGTGTTTGTGTACCACAAATAGCACATTAGAAATTGGTAAAGAGGAGAACGATGTCAAAATGATGTGGAAGTCCAGTTTATACACATATGAATTTTCTTAGCACTTTTTTTTTAACTTAAATTTTATAGCATTGCCATAAGAACTGAGAAGTGATCAGGAACAAACTTCCTCATAATTAAGAAATCTTAGCAATATAAGAAGACTTTAATAAAAAGTGAAGAATCTTGTACAAGGCGCTGCATTTAGTAAGTAATGAATAGTATAGTTGCTACAACCTCTAATTTTTCAACAACATTATCTGGTGAAGCTGTGAGTGCTGATAATGAAGCTGTGAAGACATTTTGCCATGTATTTTTAAAAAGTTGAGTACTCCTCAATTAGATTTTTCTGATGAAAATGGCATCTATTCAAAGTGAATGCCTTTGAGGCCCCTCATCATGAAGGAGAAAGCATGAAGGCTACCAAGCACTGATGAAAGTGTTGCTGGGTACAAATGCCAGTGGGAATTTAACCTTGTGTTTTTATTAGGATGGTTATTGTTTGCACTAGTGCTCTGAATACAAAGTTGCATTAGGTTTAAGTGGTCTTCCCTAACCATATTATTCCCATATGCCCTGTTATCTTAGGTGTGTAATTTTGCAAAACAGGAGACTTTTCACAAAAGATAACATGACATTATAGCAGAATGTCTGGCACTGTTTTTTTTTTTTATCTGCACGACATCTAGTTTGGTGTTAGTCATGATGTATATGCTTAGTAAATACCTGTTTACTCTTAGGCATCCTTTAATTCATAAATATTTTGGTGTGACCTTGGAGGTGGCTATTTCTCATTTTTTTTCAAATCCATATTTCCTTTCACTTTTCCATGAATGACCCAGATGTTCAGATGAGGACATACCACAGAAGGGAGACACAGAAAGCCAGAGGGATACTATAACGATGATCAGAAACCCTCTGGGGTAATGGATGGCTCTAAGGTTAGTTTGAAGAAAGACAGAGCCTGGCTTTTAGATGCTGACAGAGTGTTACTCTCATCACAGGCCAGAGGGAGAGACCCACAGTCATCAGGTCAAATGTACATTTTTTTTGGTCTTTTTTTTTTTTTGAGACAGAGTCTCACTCTGTTGCCTGGGCTAGAGTGCCGTGGCATCAGCCTAGCTCATAGCAACCTCAAACTCCTGGGCTCAAGTGATCCTACTGCCTCAGCCTCCTGAAGTAGCTAGAACTACAGGCATGTGCCACCATGCCTGGCTAATTTTTTCTATATATTTTTAATTGTCCAGCTAATTTCTATTTTTAGTAGAGACAGGTCTCACTCTTGCTCAGGCTGGTTTCGAACTCCTGACCTTGAGTGATCCACCCGCCTCGGCCTCCCAGAGTGCTAGGATTACAGGTGTGAGCCACTGCACCTGGCCCAAATGTACATTTTTGATACCGCAATTGATGGTGGTAGCCTCCTTTTTTCGTCAGCGTCAGAAAAAAGATATCTCTCTATCCACCAGCCTAATTGTGTGTTCCAGGAAGGTAAAAATAAAGGAATGCAGGTACAGTAAGATCAGCCCTAGGACTGTAACTGGTGAGGTGCTTGGTTCATAATCAGTGGACGAAGCATCCTTGCCAGAGAGGAGTGGCTCCTTTCTTGCTTTAGCTTCCAAGAGAGGCCAAAGATCCTGATGCCTGAAGGACGGGTTTTTGCTTGTTTGTTTTAAATGCTGTTTACATTAACTGGAGCAAATGCTGAAAAACAAACATCAAGAATTGAGACAGGGGCTGAGATAACCATAATAAAGTCAAATGTAAGCCATTATCAGGGACAGACTTCTTTTTTTTTGTGTTTTTACTTTCTGCAGAAAAGAATAGGATTTTACTTCTAATAGGATATCAAATGTAGCTTAGCCTGACCTGAGGATGGTGAAACCCAACCTTACATTTAAAATAATATCAATCCATTTTCAAGTCTATTTATACATACCAAACAGAAGTCATTCATATTATAATGCCCACCCCTCTGCCTCCCACACCCTTTAAAACACCACCAATGAAACTTATAAATAGGGGTCTTCTTGACCTGGAACCACCTTATCTATTCTGCTTCTTCTCTTGCCAACACCCATTGCCCCTAAGTTCTTAACCACAGGGACTCTGCACATACTATCCTCTTTTCCTTTGCCTGAAGGCTCTTCACTCTCTTTTTTTGCCTTGTAATTGCTCAGTACCTTTTCATTTAATGTCCTTCCCAATAGCTTGAAAGCTCCATGAGAGCAAATCATGTCTGTCTTGTTCACCATTGTATCTGTGATGTGTAGCACGGTACCTAGCAGTAGGCTGTCAACAAATACTTACTGACTTTAATGAGATCTTTAAGACTCAGCTAAAACATCATGTTCTTTGGGAAGGTGTCCTTGAGCCTCTGCTACTCTTTCTCTCTCCTGTGGTCTGTGGGATTCCTGTTCATATCAGTTGAACTGGTAGTGCAGTTCTTTAATAGTCTGTCTTTCCTAATAGACTCTGAGGTTCTAAAAGGCAGAAACTGTGTCATCTTCATTCTTATAACTCACAGCACTCTGTATATCAGCTGGTATAGTCTAAGGAGCTCAAGAAATATCTACTGAGCAGATTATTGAGCAATGTTTGAGCTTGGAGGGCCCTCAGCTATGGTCCACACCTATGTCTCTCAACAGGAATTACATGAAAGCATTGGATAAATAGGTCACATCTTTCTGCAGCATCCATTTTTACTCCAAATTTCAGGAGGGGAGACATTTAGATAAATTAAATCATGTATGTGTGTGTAGTGAACTGAATTCAAGTTATGTATGAAATTTTAAGTCAAACAAGAACTTCAATGAAGCAAGTTTACCTCGGGGCTCCTTGTCAATCCTGTCTAGGGGCACATATTTCCTCTTCTCTGCTGTCCTCCGGCAGTTTACCACCTTAGTAGAGAAATCATACCTGCATGATTATACAGAAGTTAATGACAATGACAAAGCTGGGATTAAAGCTGTTTTGAGATATCTAATGTTTTCACTCTACGGCCCAAGTTAGTTGCCTTCTCACACCTATAGCATGGTCAAATTCATCCTAGTACACTCTAAATAAATATGTTCAGATACAAATTTGATTCAGCATAGCTAAATTTAGGTTGAAGGTGGGAATGGCAAAAGGAATCATATAGCCTAAAGATATCTTCAGTAGCAGGCATTTGGCCATGTTTATAGACTTGATATTTAAATTTACATTACAGGTAGCTTCCTTGCATATGTGCTGGGTGGCTCATTCAAATCCTGCCCAGCCCCTCTAATGTTCTCCAAGTGTACCTTTATTTTTAAAGGGCATCCTTTAAGGAGGATGGAAGAAATACAGCGTGGGCCTCTTCCTGAGGACAAAATGCAAAGGAAGACTCAAGGACTAAAGACTATAGTCCCAACAGTGCTCTGCTGCTGCTGCACAAAAACACGTAGCATTTGTCTAGGGACTTATATTTTAAACAAAGCGTTGACACATATAATCTTATTCACTCCTCACAAGGACTCTAAACGTAAACTAGTTCTGGAAAACTGAAAATAGCACTCAACTCAATTGTTAGCTCTATATAAGTGCTTTAGTTAAAGATCCCAACAACTCTCCAGGGATTAAGGGGTGGGCGCCTGCTGCTTCAACTGCCCGGCTTAGGAATAAAGGAACCAGTGTATTCCTCTGGTCACAACGCAATCAGGGCAACAGAAAGCACCTACTCTTTCCACTTTGACCCACACAGTCTGTCTAGGCAATTAATCAGCACTCCCTGAGGTTTTCCCATAGGATGCCAATAGTTGCCCTCGCCAATCAAATATTCCCACAGATGTAGCAGGACCACACCCCCAGAGGCTTGTGGGAGGAAAGGTGCTCCGGCCTACAGGAGTGAAGGCGGGTAGTCAGGTCGACCAGCCAGTGAAACTCACAAACATAGCCTCCCCAGCCTCAGTTTCCTCATCTCTAAAATGGGCTACTCCTCCTGGCTCTAGACTAGTTCCCTCCCATTTCACGCCAGACCACCAGGAAGTGAAATCAGTGCTTAACCGCAGTTGAAAGTCCTCTGTTAGGCTCCAGTCGCCGCGCCGGGCATGCTCAGTAGCTGGGACCGGCTGGGCTCCCAGAGTAGGAAGCAGCTTTCCGCGCCCGGGCGGCCGACTGTGGGCACTTTGATGAATCACGTGTGTGGAGGCCCTCTTAAAGAGATAGGTACCTAATTTCCCTCCACCCTAAACACCGCCCTGAGGGCGGCGGCGCCGGCGACCGTGGTAATTGCAACTGCTTAGGGGCAGGGCTTGCCCCAGTGCCGTGTAGTGGCAACAGCGTGGTTGCGTCGGGGGGGTGCTCGGGCGCCGGGAGTCCCGGGGGCCTGAGATCGGCAGCTCCCCGGGCGGACCCACTCTCCCTGTGGAAGAGGTGTTGCCGAATCGGCGCGGGGCAGCGTGAGCGTCCCGAGGGGCTTCCTCAGTTGAGGAGAGGTGGGGTTCCAGGGCACAGGTGACGGGGCCGGAGAAAGATGGAGCAGCCCGGGGCGGCGGCGGCGGGAGCGGGAGGCGGCAGCGAGGAACCCGGTGGGGGCCGGAGCAACAAGCGGAGCGCTGGGAACCGGGCCGCCAACGAAGAGGAAACGAAAAACAAACCCAAATTGGTGAGTGCTCCCGCAACCCCCGCCGGCCTTGGGGACAGGGAAAACCCCGGGATCCTCCTGCCGTTGAACACGGGACCCCCTTCCAAGGGTGACCGCGACCTCGCTGTGTAACTCGGGGAGCCGCTTAAGGAGCGGCCGTGCCTAGGCGCGGACACGGCGTGGGGGCGGAAGAGCACCCCCTTCTCCACTTAACCCCTTTCTCACTCTTGTCAGCCCGGGAGGCAGTGCGGCAAGGAGAAAGGCTCCACCCCAACTTGGGGAGACCCTGAGTACTGGGTAGGGCTGTTGTTTGTCTAACTCGTGGGCGCGAACCTCCTTCGCGCGATTCCGTTCCCCTCCCACCTCTTGTCAGTTGCTGTTTTGCCTCCTAACACTTAGGGTCCGGGCAGGGGAACCTCTCTCCTTTTCACTCCAAGTACTTGGGAGCCCACGCACAGCCTTGCAAGTCAAGAAAAACACAACGTAGGCCCCCGATCTTTCTACTTTACCAGAAATCTAGGGAAGAGGCGCCTACGTGCGTTCCCCGCCCCCCCCCCATGTGCTCTCCCAAGAAACGTTTCTTTGGAAGGGTGGTGGGAGCGTGGGAGTTGGAGGCTGGGTGAGGTACCACCAACTGTCCTGTGTGTGTGTATGTGTGTAGTAGGCATAGTCATACAGTACTTCCACTTAGTTAAGAACACTCAAAAGCAGCAAGCAGACTATCCAAGTCCCAGAGTCCTGACACTGTGAACCAGTGGTAGCAGTCCATTTCCTGCCACTGAATGTGCAGAGGAATGAAATCTGTGAGGCCTGGTATTGCATTGGGAAATACTGGAGTTTCCTCAACTCATCAGTTAAAAAGGGTTCCGCTTTTTGTAAACTTTCTAATTTGGGTGGCATAAGGGGAAAGGGTTTTCTTTTACAAATTCAGCAAATAACTCCGTATAGCTGAAGATTCTTAGTCTAGATCTGAAGCACAAGCCACATGTTGCATATTGTAAGGTCTCAGTTTTAACCTACAAGTTGATTATAAGACGGAAGGAGACGGTGACATAAATAGAGCCATTTCTTCTGGCATATGGCCATGTGATATGGACCTGTTGTACTGCTCTCTTAGCTCCTATTTGCCTTTCAATTATGGACTGTTCATATTGGAAAACAGTGCTAAAAGCGTTATCATTGTAGGAAATATGCAGCCTTCCATTATGTGGGAAGGGACTTGGTGGGGAGATTAAAATGACAAGTTTGAAGCCTAGTCAATTCCACGGTAACTTGAGGAAAATTGAGAACTTGCCTACTTGATGTGTCCTGTTACCCCCAGTATTTACCAATGAAGAAAGTGAGCTACAGGCTCAGGCACCTACACCATCATAAAACTTAGAAAAGTTTTGTATGTCACCAAAGTTTAATATATTTAAAAATTGTGATGTGATTTTGAAATTTACCATTTCGCAGTAAAAGAGTGATCATATTTCTTTTTTTATGGACCCTGTACAAACCTGTGGTTTAATCAGTGATTAACAGTTTAAGTAAAAAGTTAACTGATAGTTTCCACAAATAGTTTGGTACGCCTAGCAAGACTCTAGAATGCTTTTGAGAAAAAACACTTACCTCTCTTAGTATTATAATAACACCTGGATTATATTGTTCCCTTCCCTTTGACCATTTGTCCTGTTTCATCTTTATGTTTTACTTGATTTGACAAGGTAACAGGATAGTCAATGAGATGGTATCACTTTCAGTTCCTAGCTAACTTCACTGTTCCGTGTTGAACATAGCTTGATATAGTAAAACAAGTATTTGAATCCAAGAATTTCTTATTATCAACATGAATTTTCTTTTTTGCTCAAACATAACTTTTGGGCTTTACATGATTTTACATGATGTGTCAGAGTTAATAAAAACAAATTTAGGAAGACATTATAGCACATTTTCAGGCAAGCAAGTTGACTAAACAGTAAGACTTGATAAACTTTTCAGGAAAGGGTTCATCAGGAGTTCTTAAAATTTTGCTTGTAAGATAAAACTATACTTAGACTAAATTGTATTTTGAGTATTAATAATCACTACAATAGTCATTTATTTTATGTGTGTTTGTAAAGGAGTTGTGCTGTGGGATTATAAAAGAGATACAGTTGTAGAAATTATTTGTATAGGTGATTGTGGGGGCTAGGGGTTCTTAAATCTCTGAAATTGTATGAAAATATTTGAGTATATGTAGGTATATTCATTTTTCTGGGCCCCATAGCTTTCATCAGTTTCTCAAAGGCATTCATCACCTATAGAAGAATAAGAACTATTGCATTACCAAAGATAGTAAAGAAAATGACAGTTGATTCCACTCTGAGTTACTGGGGAGGAGAGATGGTGCTGACCACATGGGTGATTGATATTGAAGATAATTCTGGGGATAAAAAGAAATTAACTACATGGTGTCTATATAGTATTAGCTAAGGTTAAAGTTTCCATTACATAGAAAAGTTAACTGAGTTTCTCTAGTGGATTCATAAAGTTTAAGGTTTAAAGTTTAAAGTGATTCAGTTATTTTCATGTAGTCCCTCATGGTTGTGAAAAAATGAAGATGGAAAGCATGTTTTCTGTAAAGAGGAACTACTTTCATTTATATTCTAAACTTTTTGATGGGTGTTAGAATTTTTTAGAGTGGCATTTCAGGACTCTAATGACTTCTGTTTAAGATTAATTAAATAAAATTTAATGAGATTCAATTCAGTTTTCTTCATATATGCATCCTTATAATGACACTTTTATTTTGATTCTTTTTAAAGAAGGCATTCCTGTCTTGGACTCATCACATTGTAAATAATGCATTCGTAGTAGAGTTTTAGGTTTTGTGGAACTCTCTGGTTAGACCAAGATTGTAGCATGTCATCAAACAGCATGAATCGTAGACTAGTTAGTAATTTGATGTCAACCATGGAATGTATTTTGCTGAGTAGGACAGAAAGCTCTGGAAGTGTTACGAAGGAGATGCATCTTGAATCCCACATATTTAAGGTGGTGATTTCACCGTTAAGAGAGGCCAATGATGTAGAGTGACTTGATGGTATTTGATATTTTTGTACTTTGACTTTGTGTTTCTGTATAAGTTCTGAAGCCTTTGGTTTTTTAGACAGCGTACTCAAATTAGTAACTTGAAATAACAGAAGTTAATTTTCTGGTTATTATATAACAGCCCAAGTATTTGGTTATTTGTTTATAATTGAATAAATCATGTTTGCTTTTAAATGATAATTTATGAGCACAATGACTTCATTTATGCAACACACATTTACTGCATACCTGTTACGTGCTAGGCATGATTCTAATTGTTGGTGATGTGAAGATGCTCATAGTCTAGTAAGACATAGTCTAGTAGTTCATTGATGATTAAAGCACTGTGTGATAAATTATGATAGGAATATGCATAGATGCTTGCTATAAAAAAGTCATAAAGAGGCATCTAACTAGAATTGGATGCTTGAGCAGTGTAAGGAAAGGCTTATCATACTAGGTGACTTGAAAAATAGGGCATTAATTGAAGAAGGGGAAGGAAAGGCATTCTAGGTTGAAAGAACAACATATATAAAGGTAGACCGATGCCCAATATGGCTGAAACAAAGGGTGCACATGGTGGACCTGTATGTTTCAATTTCTTTCTGAAAATAGAGGAAAACCATTGAAGAGATTAAAGCAGGAGAGTGATCTGATCAGATCTATGTTTCAGAAGGAAACTTAGTACTTTGCAGAATTTCTTGGAGAGGGGTGCCAGAATGGAGGCAGGAAGACTACTTAAGAGGAGTGGAATGGCACAAGAGTTAGATGTTTATAGTTATACCTGGATTCGAGTTGCAATTTACCTGCTCATCCATTTACCAGCTCATCCATTTACTGGGCATATTTCTCTGTTCCTTTTTCCTTCTGCCACCTCCGTTGGCTCTCCTTCCTGCCACCCACCCTGAACATCCTCACCAAATTTGAAATGTCCATCCTGTTTCTCTTTTATAAATCTCACCCCCTTTCACAGCCCTGCTCATGTCTTAATATTCTCTTTCTTCCATTAAACCTTCACTGATTACTTCAGCTTACTGAGGGCTCTTCCTTCTTCTGAACTCATACCCCTCTTGAGTCTAAATGTTACATGCTGATCTAGTCTCTGCAAAGATTTTTTTTTTTTTGAGACAGAGTCTCACTCTGTTGCTTGGGCTAGAGTGCCATGGTGTCAGCCTAGCTCACAGCAACCTCAAACTCCTGGGCTCAAGCAATCTTTCTGTCTCAGCCTCCTGAGTAGCTGGGACTACAAACATGTGCCACCATGTCTGGCTAATTTTTTCTCTATATATTTTTAATTGGCCAATTAATTTCTTTCTATTTTTTAATAGAGACGGGGTCTCGCTCTTGCTCAGACTGGTTTCAAACTCCTGACCTTGAGCAATCTATCCGCCTAGGCCTCCCTGAGTGCTAGGATTTGGCCTCTGCAAAGATTTTAAAGTGCCTCTAGGTAAGGGTCCCATTTTATGCCTGTTCTTGAAAACCTGGCAGGCCAGTGCTTGGGTGCAAAACTACTCAGTAAATAATTATTAGCTGGGGATTTTTTTTTCCTATAGGCCAGACATTTTGAGTAAATTATTGAAAAGAAGCTTTTTTTAAAAAAAAATAAATGTTTAATTTTATGTGCCTTTTTTTTCTTAGTATATATACTTGATCAAATTAACCTATCTGTACTTTCTTCTGTGTCTTTTCTCTAATTTTGAAGTTCAGGAAACTTCTTCAGGGCCGTGAGAATTCCCCTACCCCCGTTGTTTGAATTCTTGTGATGTCAGAGCCTGAACTTCCATGTAGAAAAACAGTACCAAAACTGATGAGCCAAGTAACATTTTACTGTTATTAGTAGGAGACTTCAGATTATTGGCAAAACAGTATGGACTGGAGGGCCAAAGGACCTGGATTCCAGGGTCTGTTCTATCTTTTATTTGCTTGTGATCTCTGATGAGCCATTTGACATTGTAAGTTTGAGGTCTTTG